AGCGCCGCCCGCGCCCGGCTCCCCCGCCCGCCCGGTTACCGGTTGAGGAGGAGGGTGGCGGTGCCCAGCCCCAGGAGGAGGCAGCAGGAGAGCGGGTACTGCCGGCAGATCTCCCGCAGCCCCTCGGTGCCCCGCAGCCACCGCAGCAGCCGCCGCCCGGCCGCCCGCACCCCCCCCATGGCGGCCGCTGCCCGCGCCGGCCGCGCCGGATGCGGCTCCGCTTCCGCTGCCGGCGCCCGCTGATGGCGGCGGCGCCGCGGCCGCGTCACGGCCCGCGTCAGGGGCGCGTCAGGGGCCGGGCCGCGGGAGGAGCGGCGGGGAGGAGCGGCTGCCCACCGAGCCCGGAGCTGTGGTCCTGCCGCCGCCTTTGGAGCTGTGCTGTGTCACGTAGCACGCTAAGCACTCCAAATAGAAGGTCTCTGATGACAGCGAGCTTACCTAGTTATAAATACTTGGGTTCTGGACATCAAGGGGTTCCCAGCGCCAAGCGGCCAGAAAGTGCTACGTCTGATTAAATGCTCTATATTTGGATGATGACTGAACTAAATCATTCAGTGACTGGGACACTAAAATCCTATAAACACCGCTCAAAGCTTCGTAATTGGCTGTAAAGAAAAGGAACGGGGTAGGAAATGTAATAAGATCCCACCTTAACATCAGTAAGTGTACAAGAGTAAGACATTGAAAAGAGAGGAATTCTAGAACGTAGTTTATTGCTAGAGAGAAGAATTTAAAGCCAACTTCACGTGAACACCCTCAGTTACACAGTAAGCCACGAGCTTTCAAACTGCTGGAGAGCTTTCAGCTGCTCTGTAGTTACCCAGTCTTACGAAACTCAAGGCTCTGTTAATAAGACACTGCTGGTTGTGGGTGTATCAGTTCAATGGGCAAAATGAAACAACTTCTGGGAGTCGGTACTCATAAAGGGGCTTCTGACTGGCAAGTATGAAGGAGACCCGCACGGGGAGAGATGCCGGCTTTTAGCTGTTTTGAGGAGTTGCTGTTGCCTTGTATGTCCATTCAGCCCCCTGAATAAGCGAGGGCACACGAAATACTGAAATACATCTGTTCAGATGAACCGTTGAGTTGTACATCTTCACCTGCAACTACACTGTTAAGAAAAATGCTGGTATTTGGAGGGTGAGAGTCAGCATCTAGAAATCGAAAAACAGCTTCCAGAATCTTTGCTCAGATGCTTTGTCAGTTTATGCAACACTTCCCTTGACGTCTTGAGTAGGTGAAATGCTGCAGTTCGACTTCAGTATGTTGACCTTTCTCTGAGTGCTTGGCAAAAGCCCAGGGTCAGCTAGAATTTCTTTAAGAGTCTCTGCACAGTATTATTTCATGTCAGTCCACGTTTCCTAGTAGAAAAAAACCAAGGTGCATTCACACAGCAAATCTCCATACAGCCTATTCAGAGGAAATCAGTTTACTTAAGATGAATTTTTTTTTTGTTATCAGCTTAATTTATCCTCAGCTTTACTGCTGATGATTTTTAGTCACTTATCTTGCAATGCTTTTAATAAGGAATAACTTCTAAAAATCTGTAATTTTTACAATATTTCATGAAGATGCCACAGCATCGCATATCTGTAACACAGGAAGTGACTTGCACAGCAAACTAGCAGCTTAAGTCAAACTCCTGCTTCCATTTGCATTGTGTACTTCAGGTAAAGTTTCTTTAATTTACAGCTTAATTGTTCAGAATTGTGTTTACTTACTGTAAAATTGCCACATTCACATCTGGCACTAATTGTACCTTATTATCTTAGAAACTGTGCAGCTTCCTTCAATTCACAGACTACATCTGCTGAGCAGACACAACAAACTGCTTTACCCCATCCTGCTCTGCTGGAGACAGCAATGTTGGCATTGCCCATCTCCCTCTGTCACAAGGGCTCCTAGATTGTTCTGGTACACTGAAAGACTCAGCAGATGTTTGTTTGTTTTTCGACAAAACAAAACTATAGAAGAACAAAAGGGAACTGCTGACAACATAAAACTTCTTCAAAATTCTTTGAGAAATAGGAACTTTATCCATTCCCTGGAAATAGCAAGTTTTTCTCTCTTCACATAAATTCTTGGGAAGATTCTATGGTCAGCTGGAGGGAGAAGTGCCAGCGAAAAGCATGGATCTGGAGATGGGCTCTGAAGTAATGTGGTCAGGACTGGGTGATTCTGGAAAGATAGATTTTATTTTAGTGTTTAAAATGTAAAAGGATCTTTCACTGATTGTACAAGTCATCTGGTAGAGCCAGTTCTCCCTGGTTTGGGGTTTAGGCCTGTTTACTTTGATGGCAGGAAAAGCTTGCCTATTCTAGCATCTAAGAAGCATATTAGAGCAGATTTTCAACAACTTGAAGTATAAAACTACAATTCTTGGCTAAGTAACATCAGTTATTAGGCTGAGATTGTATGTACCAAAGTGCTTTTTTTTTACCTTAAGAAATGCTTTTTTTAAATAAGACAGACAGTGAACTGTAATAAACAGATTCTCACCAGTTAATTGCATTTAATTTACTCTGCAAGTCTGCTTTTGCTCTTTTCAAGGCCTTACATAGTTCTTTCTTTCAAGGATGGAGTTGTCAAGGCTAATTTACAATATCTAATCCTTCATATTTACTCAACAAGGAATTAATTCACCTTTGTAATTATTCCTCACAAGTTCCTGTTCATTTTGTGGGCCCTCTCCAAGAAGCTTAAATAGAAAACTTCATATTAGTCTTTAACTCAAGCCATTTACCAAAAAACTCTAGAGAACTCTAGAGATTTTTAATATTCAGCAAATAGCTAAGCTTAAGTAAAGAAGTGAAACTGAAGTTGGCCAGTCAGATCCCAAGAAAGGCAAGCATAGTAGGCTCTTTGCACTTGACTTTTTCAAATTCAAAACTTAAAGGGCATCCACCAGCAGTTACTGGTTTCCACCTGAGATGATCCATGTGTATGCAACAAATAAAAGGTGAAAACTGCCTTTTAGTAGTACTTTTTGGCCTTTAAAGGAACACTGAAACTAGAGGGGAGCGATGGCTGCACATTTCTGGTTTGGGTAGAATAATTAACAGCACTTTGATAAGCAAAATTAGCTTTACTGTTATAAATACATGTATATTCTTCCGTTAATGAGTTAACAAACTGTTCAGAGTCTAGATTTATGATTTTGGGAGTCATATCCCTGTACCACCCACACTGACCCATGCTTGCCAGCTGTATGGAAATATGTGCTGCCTGTGGTTGTAGGGTCTTGTATTTGCATCCTGGATCACATGCTGACCCTCAGTATGACCAGATTAAAGCAAGCTGCATGAGAAGGTGATAACCTGGGCCCAGAAGTACCTGCTCAATACAGCAACAAGAGCTTTGGGTTCCTGGATAAAATCCCTCACAAGTTTTCTTCTAGAGGAATGGGGGAATTCAGCTGCTGCAGTAAGGAGCAGAATGGCAGGTGGGAGGGAGAAATGTTTTTAAGAAAAGAGGTGAGAAGAACTTTGTAAAAAATCACTGGTCTCCACACTTGCAGGGAATGACAAGAGATTTAAAAGTTGTGTTGTTTGTTTAGAAGCAGATTTAGAAAGCAATTAAGCGGAAAGGCTAAGAAGTTTCAATTATAACACACCACCCAGAATTCATCTTTTTTTTTTTTTTAAAGAGACTGTAAAATACAGTTCTGTTAGAAACCTGAAAATACGTACTAGGCTGTTTAGGACTAAAAATACCAGGCAGAATAAAGACTTGCAGGGCAAAAAAAAGAAAGACAAGGAGACTGATCCAATACAGAAATTCAAGTAAAAGGACTCACTTCAAGTGGAGTTTCCAGAGGGTCAGTTTAGTATTCCCAACAGGAACAATGCTCTGCAAACCAGAGGGGTGCTGAGGAGCACGGAGCGTGTTAGAATTTCACTGGGACAAGGTCTACTTGGTAAGAAGGAAAAAAACCGAAACAAAACAAAAAACAGGCAATGTACTAGAGTCAGTTTTGTCCTGAAGAACTTATAACTCTCAAGGAGAAGGTAAAAAGATTCAGAGACAGGCTGGTGTATAGAGCTTTTCTTCAATTTGTTAACATGAAAAGGCATTTTCTGAAGAAATTCTTTCACAGACAAGACACTGGAGAGAATTTAGATATTAGAGATGAAAATAATTTGTTCGATCATAAACTACTATTTATGGGACATTAAAAAAAAGAAAGTAGAGCAGTAAGTTGAAAGATGTAGAAGTTGACTATAACAGTAAGAAATAAAGGCCTGCAGGAATATGCGCAAAAAAGAGGAGAACTAAACGTTAAAATAAATTGGGATTTGTGGCAACATTTGGCAAAGCTGTACTCCATAGAAATTTTATCTTGATTCACCTGAGCAAGAAACAGTAAGATTTTNTTTTGTTACAGCTTTGTCTGATGATTTCAAATAGATTCATGGAATCGTTCGGGTTGGAAAAGACCTTAAAGATCATCCAGTTCCAACCCCCTGCCACGGGCAGGGACACCTTCCACTTGGCCAGGATGCTCCATCCCACCCAGCCTTAAACACTTCCAAGGATAGGGCAACCAAAAGCTCTCTAGGCAGCTTCTTCCAGCACCTCACCATACTCACGGTAAAGCATTTCTTCTTAATATCTAATCTAAACCTACTCCATCAGTTTGAATCCATTCTCCTTTGTTTTCCTCCATGCTCTTGTAATAGTCTATTTCCAATCTTCTTGTAAGCTCCCTACCATCAAATTATCATCTTGATTACAGAAATTTTGTAATTGGAGCAAATCACCTTTCACCCACAACTCCAAGAAACTAAGCAGGCTGAAATCCTTAACTTTTTAAGACTCAGACATGTTCAGTTTTAACTGTTCTTTCCGTTATTCTTCCCAATTTACACAGGCATTTCTTTTACGTTCCAGGTGCACTGCTACAGAAGCAGTCCATGTTTAAAAGCAGGGCACCTTCACTCCCTGCTCCCAACAAACACTCTTTTGATTTGACTTTTACTTGAATAAGTTAAAATACCTGCGAGGTACATCTGAACCAGAAACAAAAAGTTTAGAAGATACGTAATGAAAACCCACAGAATTTTAATGTACTAAAGAAACGATGCACCAATTACCTCTGAAAGTGATGCATCAACCTTGGAAGGCACTTTCAGATCCAGCCATGGCTGATAGTTTTCCAGAAGCAAAGTAGGTCTGTAGGAGAGCATGGAGAAGTTCATGCAACAATGTGCAATTGACAGTTTCCTACTGTGATGTGTAAAATGGCAGCAGTACTAAGTGTACCAGTGTCACATACGTAATTTACCTGTGCCTCTTGCATTTGACCTTGCCACATACAGCACAACTGTGACCATGGGGAAACAGCTCCGGCAATTCCAACTGCTAAGAGATTTGGACAAGTTTACATTCTCCAAAACGACAACTCTATTAATATACGGACACATTCGTGAATTTCCTTTTAGAGCAGCTTTTACAGAGAACTGAATAAAGACAAACTTGTTCCTCCAGCAGGAAAACAAGCTAATAAGGCATGGTATGAAAAACAACTGAACCAAAAAGAAAAACCACTTCCGCTGAAACAAAGTGAGAGGACACAGATATCTCTTCACATCTCCACTCGCCTCCCTGTACATTTATCAGTCTAGTAACAGATCAGATGGTTTCTCTGCCTTGCTCACAGTCTTGAACTACTACAACAATAATTTTTTAGCCCTATGAAACTCTATACTTAATTGTTTTAAGTTAGAAAAGAGCAATTTGCTTTGGGAATATTTTTCTCTCTGAAATGCAGTAATGCTTAGAGGACTTTGATTACTGCGAGCAAAGAAGACTCACCAATGGCCTGCCAAAAGGAGGGCATCTTTAGAACAGAAAAGCTCCACTAACGGAGCAAACAACAACATAGTTTCTCCAGTGCCTGCTACTCAAATGCTCAAAATGTACAATGAGGGAAGCAGGAAACAACATCCATGGACACTCCAACAGCCGGCCTTGCAGCCATACGTGGATTTGGTGGGACTATGCAGAAACACGCGAAGAATTCAGTCTTAATCATCACCTATTTGCCACAAAATACCTGTCAGTAGGAGTGTATGAGCTGTACTGATGCACAATATTTTTTCTGAAAGCAGCTAGGACTAAACTAGAATTGCTACTCCACATAAATTATTATATTTAAAGAAAGCACAAGACTCTTGACAGGCATATTTACCTTGGGTTTATATTTTATTGTGAACAGAATATTGGGCAGGAGGGAGTCCGGTCCCAAGGAACAGTAGAAGGTGACGACCCCAGCCACGAACGACCAGAAGATCATCAAAATATGAAGATACCTTTACAGACACACGGGAAGGAAAAGCCGCTGCGTGAGAAGGCGCAGCGCCGCCCGCGCCCGGCTCCCCCGCCCGCCCGGTTACCGGTTGAGGAGGAGGGTGGCGGTGCCCAGCCCCAGGAGGAGGCAGCAGGAGAGCGGGTACTGCCGGCAGATCTCCCGCAGCCCCTCGGTGCCCCGCAGCCACCGCAGCAGCCGCCGCCCGGCCGCCCGCACCCCCCCCATGGCGGCCGCTGCCCGCGCCGGCCGCGCCGGATGCGGCTCCGCTTCCGCTGCCGGCGCCCGCTGATGGCGGCGGCGCCGCGGCCGCGTCACGGCCCGCGTCAGGGGCCGCGTCAGGGGCCGGGCCGCGGGAGGAGCGGCGGGGAGGAGCGGCTGCCCACCGAGCCCGGAGCTGTGGTCCTGCCGCCGCCTTTGCAGCTGTGCTGTGTCACGTAGCACGCTAAGCACTCCAAATAGAAGGTCTCTGATGACAGCGAGCTTACCTAGTTATAAATACTTGGGTTCTGGACATCAAGGGGTTCCCAGCGCCAAGCGGCCAGAAAGTGCTACGTCTGATTAAATGCTCTATATTTGGATGATGACTGAACTAAATCATTCAGTGACTGGGACACTAAAATCCTATAAACACCGCTCAAAGCTTCGTAATTGGCTGTAAAGAAAAGGAACGGGGTAGGAAATGTAATAAGATCCCACCTTAACATCAGTAAGTGTACAAGAGTAAGACATTGAAAAGAGAGGAATTCTAGAACGTAGTTTATTGCTAGAGAGAAGAATTTAAAGCCAACTTCACGTGAACACCCTCTGTTACACAGTAAGCCACGAGCTTTCAAACTGCTGGAGAGCTTTCAGCTGCTCTGTAGTTACCCAGTCTTACGAAACTCAAGGCTCTGTTAATAAGACACTGCTGGTTGTGGGTGTATCAGTTCAATGGGCAAAATGAAACTTCTGGGAGTCGGTACTCATAAAGGGGCTTCTGACTGGCAAGTATGAAGGAGACCCGCACGGGGAGAGATGCCGGCTTTTAGCTGTTTTGAGGAGTTGCTGTTGCCTTGTATGTCCATTCAGCCCCCTGAATAAGCGAGGGCACACGAAATACTGAAATACATCTGTTCAGATGAACCGTTGAGTTGTACATCTTCACCTGCAACTACACTGTTAAGAAAAATGCTGGTATTTGGAGGGTGAGAGTCAGCATCTAGAAATCGAAAAACAGCTTCCAGAATCTTTGCTCAGATGCTTTGTCAGTTTATGCAACACTTCCCTTGACGTCTTGAGTAGGTGAAATGCTGCAGTTCGACTTCAGTATGTTGACCTTTCTCTGAGTGCTTGGCAAAAGCCCAGGGTCAGCTAGAATTTCTTTAAGAGTCTCTGCACAGTATTATTTCATGTCAGTCCACGTTTCCTAGTAGAAAAAAACCAAGGTGCATTCACACAGCAAATCTCCATACAGCCTATTCAGAGGAAATCAGTTTACTTAAGATGAATTTTTTTTTTGTTATCAGCTTAATTTATCCTCAGCTTTACTGCTGATGATTTTTAGTCACTTATCTTGCAATGCTTTTAATAAGGAATAACTTCTAAAAATCTGTAATTTTTACAATATTTCATGAAGATGCCACAGCATCGCATATCTGTAACACAGGAAGTGACTTGCACAGCAAACTAGCAGCTTAAGTCAAACTCCTGCTTCCATTTGCATTGTGTACTTCAGGTAAAGTTTCTTTAATTTACAGCTTAATTGTTCAGAATTGTGTTTACTTACTGTAAAATTGCCACATTCACATCTGGCACTAATTGTACCTTATTATCTTAGAAACTGTGCAGCTTCCTTCAATTCACAGACTACATCTGCTGAGCAGACACAACAAACTGCTTTACCCCATCCTGCTCTGCTGGAGACAGCAATGTTGGCATTGCCCATCTCCCTCTGTCACAAGGGCTCCTAGATTGTTCTGGTACACTGAAAGACTCAGCAGATGTTTGTTTGTTTTTCGACAAAACAAAACTATAGAAGAACAAAAGGGAACTGCTGACAACATAAAACTTCTTCAAAATTCTTTGAGAAATAGGAACTTTATCCATTCCCTGGAAATAGCAAGTTTTTCTCTCTTCACATAAATTCTTGGGAAGATTCTATGGTCAGCTGGAGGGAGAAGTGCCAGCGAAAAGCATGGATCTGGAGATGGGCTCTGAAGTAATGTGGTCAGGACTGGGTGATTCTGGAAAGATAGATTTTATTTTAGTGTTTAAAATGTAAAAGGATCTTTCACTGATTGTACAAGTCATCTGGTAGAGCCAGTTCTCCCTGGTTTGGGGTTTAGGCCTGTTTACTTTGATGGCAGGAAAAGCTTGCCTATTCTAGCATCTAAGAAGCATATTAGAGCAGATTTTCAACAACTTGAAGTATAAAACTACAATTCTTGGCTAAGTAACATCAGTTATTAGGCTGAGATTGTATGTACCAAAGTGCTTTTTTTTTACCTTAAGAAATGCTTTTTTTAAATAAGACAGACAGTGAACTGTAATAAACAGATTCTCACCAGTTAATTGCATTTAATTTACTCTGCAAGTCTGCTTTTGCTCTTTTCAAGGCCTTACATAGTTCTTTCTTTCAAGGATGGAGTTGTCAAGGCTAATTTACAATATCTAATCCTTCATATTTACTCAACAAGGAATTAATTCACCTTTGTAATTATTCCTCACAAGTTCCTGTTCATTTTGTGGGCCCTCTCCAAGAAGCTTAAATAGAAAACTTCATATTAGTCTTTAACTCAAGCCATTTACCAAAAAACTCTAGAGAACTCTAGAGATTTTTAATATTCAGCAAATAGCTAAGCTTAAGTAAAGAAGTGAAACTGAAGTTGGCCAGTCAGATCCCAAGAAAGGCAAGCATAGTAGGCTCTTTGCACTTGACTTTTTCAAATTCAAAACTTAAAGGGCATCCACCAGCAGTTACTGGTTTCCACCTGAGATGATCCATGTGTATGCAACAAATAAAAGGTGAAAACTGCCTTTTAGTAGTACTTTTTGGCCTTTAAAGGAACACTGAAACTAGAGGGGAGCGATGGCTGCACATTTCTGGTTTGGGTAGAATAATTAACAGCACTTTGATAAGCAAAATTAGCTTTACTGTTATAAATACATGTATATTCTTCCGTTAATGAGTTAACAAACTGTTCAGAGTCTAGATTTATGATTTTGGGAGTCATATCCCTGTACCACCCACACTGACCCATGCTTGCCAGCTGTATGGAAATATGTGCTGCCTGTGGTTGTAGGGTCTTGTATTTGCATCCTGGATCACATGCTGACCCTCAGTATGACCAGATTAAAGCAAGCTGCATGAGAAGGTGATAACCTGGGCCCAGAAGTACCTGCTCAATACAGCAACAAGAGCTTTGGGTTCCTGGATAAAATCCCTCACAAGTTTTCTTCTAGAGGAATGGGGGAATTCAGCTGCTGCAGTAAGGAGCAGAATGGCAGGTGGGAGGGAGAAATGTTTTTAAGAAAAGAGGTGAGAAGAACTTTGTAAAAAATCACTGGTCTCCACACTTGCAGGGAATGACAAGAGATTTAAAAGTTGTGTTGTTTGTTTAGAAGCAGATTTAGAAAGCAATTAAGCGGAAAGGCTAAGAAGTTTCAATTATAACACACCACCCAGAATTCATCTTTTTTTTTTTTTTAAAGAGACTGTAAAATACAGTTCTGTTAGAAACCTGAAAATACGTACTAGGCTGTTTAGGACTAAAAATACCAGGCAGAATAAAGACTTGCAGGGCAAAAAAAAGAAAGACAAGGAGACTGATCCAATACAGAAATTCAAGTAAAAGGACTCACTTCAAGTGGAGTTTCCAGAGGGTCAGTTTAGTATTCCCAACAGGAACAATGCTCTGCAAACCAGAGGGGTGCTGAGGAGCACGGAGCGTGTTAGAATTTCACTGGGACAAGGTCTACTTGGTAAGAAGGAAAAAAACCGAAACAAAACAAAAAACAGGCAATGTACTAGAGTCAGTTTTGTCCTGAAGAACTTATAACTCTCAAGGAGAAGGTAAAAAGATTCAGAGACAGGCTGGTGTATAGAGCTTTTCTTCAATTTGTTAACATGAAAAGGCATTTTCTGAAGAAATTCTTTCACAGACAAGACACTGGAGAGAATTTAGATATTAGAGATAAAAATAATTTGTTCGATCATAAACTACTATTTATGGGACATTAAAAAAAAGAAAGTAGAGCAGTAAGTTGAAAGATGTAGAAGTTGACTATAACAGTAAGAAATAAAGGCCTGCAGGAATATGCGCAAAAAAGAGGAGAACTAAACGTATACAAGAGACACTGGAAAAATGTTAAAATAAATTGTGATTTGTGGCAACATTTGGCAAAGCTGTACTCCATAGAAATTTTATCTTGATTCACCTGAGCAAGAAACAGTAAGATTTTTGGATGCACACCCTAAGTATTAAGTGAGGTTGGTCAATTGGTTGTATGTGCAAAGATCTGGAAAACCTAATTTGTTTGAAAAACGTAGGTTGATCAGGGAGGAATGAGGGAATATCAAGATGGATGTTAAGAATTTGTAAGAAAAAGTTTATGAAAGAACTAAGGAGCTGTACTCATGCAAAAAGTTAAAACAATGCCAGAGCACATATGTAAGAATGCTGACCAGCCTTGGTCAGTGGGGAAAATTTTGAAGTAGGGAGTTCAATGATGAACTTGTTTTCAAGATCCCTTGTTTTCAGCTGAATTTTAAAATGTCAAGATAATCCTATTAGATTAAGTGTTTCCGTTAAATCATTACAAACTCTTGCAACACCTATGCCCCAGAACTATGGTGAAACCTGAAGAATTTAAAGCTAGTTAAGTTTTTCATCACAGATATAACACTGGACTCATGGAACAACTGTGTTGGATCAGAAGAAGTTCAGCTGGGTGAGCTTCCTGTTGCTGACGGCCATTGGGGGATACATACCTAGGAAAAAGTGGTAAAAGCATGGCAAGAACATAAGTTGTTCCTGGAACACATTCTTTTATTCTGATTCATAATCTTGGGGATATCCTGAGAAAGAACTTCTTTCTTAAGTTTCAAGTTGCTTTTGAAGAATGAGAAACTTTAACATCTGTAAATATCATGCAAGGAGTTCCACTGTTTGCGTGAGTGAAAATACAGCTCTCCAAACATTCATATGTTTACTAGAGATGGTGAAAAATCATTCCCTACTCAGCAC